GGTGTGTCTTCTGTTTAATACACCAACTTTTTCTGATTTTCTATAAAACAATTTCTCAATTTTTCTTGAAGCATTCTCACCCTTAAACTTTTTAAATGACACATGTAACAAACTTTCGGCCGATAACTTCCAAGTCAAATGACCATAGGGCACCAGGTTTTAAAAACCCTTGTAGGCTTAATTGCTCGAGTCATAAAGGCTACGAGAGAAATTTTCAAATAAAATAATACCTTTTTTATGCATTGATTAGTGCATTGTCCTTCATTAAACACCAATTTAAGAAAAACAACTTCAAACTTGAGATTTTTACCCAATTTCATCCTATTGATTATAGACAATCCACACCAGATTTTTTTCTTCACAGGAAATCCCCATTTATCTCAATATCTTCCCACAACAGTGAGATCCCTTAAACTATTCTAAATTTGGTCCAATGCTGCAAAATTTTGCAGTTTTAGTTTAGCCTCTATGGTCCACTATTTCAACTTATCCAATTATGAATTCAACTCATTCATACACAATAGTAAACTTGATTCATGTGCTCACTATATTTCAAATTTCACATGAAAAAGTAAAAATAATCTAATCATGTAACTTATTCACCATTCATAAATCAATTTATGATTCAATACATTACTCATTGCCAACCATGCCAACTAACTCACACAAGCACAAAAAAAAAATATTTTGAAATTTTTCAATTTTTTTTTAAAATTAGATCACACAAAAACACAAAAAATGAAAACTCACATGTTTTTCGCCCCCAAACTTAAACTAGACATTGTACTCAATGTCTTAAATCCTAAATTCGCGTATAAAAGGGGTGGGGAAGAAAGTGAAGAAATGACTCCCCTGATATGGCTTGTAATTCAATTGCTAACTTTCCTATTACTTCTGTTGGCTATTTGGTCAAAATTGATTTAAATGTTCTGCGGCATCATGTTTATGAAAAATCAAATAAAGCATTATGATCAAATAACTGTAACAAGTGTTACTTAACTCTAAAATTTAATAAACCAACATATCTAAGATCTAAGAGGAAATGGGGTATGGATGATGAGTCCTAAATAAACTTAAAATAAATGAAACTATCCTAAAATGCAAAACAAAATAAATAAAAAGGAAAAACGCTTGGGTTGCCTTCCAAGAAGCACTTCTTTAACGTCATTAGTTTGACTGTAGTGGTGATTATTTTGGCTCATCTAATACGATGGAGGATTTTTCTTTCAAGAATTCTCCTTCCAAATACCGCTTCAA